AGGAGCAAAATATAATAAATGGAAAAATCTATGAATGCAAATTATTTTGCATCTTTTTTCATTTTTGTAAATTATTTAGATGCATTTTTTCTTTGATAATTTTCGTACCCTTTTGTGGGTTAATCATTTCAATACCATTCATTTCCATTTCCATTGACTCTGTGTTATTTCTTATTGTAATTTTAATACAATCAACATTACAATAAATGTATGTATCTCTTACTGCTTTATTCCTTTCTTGAATTATTTTGATCATTTTATCAAAATCACATCCTTTTTCATACACAATATCTTCTTCTTCAATAATACTTCTTTCTTCTCTTTGTTGAATATCATTTTCTTTTTTAATAGGTTCTGACATTTTCTGACAACATTCTATGATAAATTTAGTTATATAATCTGTAACTTTATTTAATACAACAAGTTCTTTTGTTTCTATATCAAGACTAATTCTTTGAATATTCACCATAATACAAGTCTCACTCATTTCAAATACCTTTTTAATTTATTCATTTCTTCTTGGTTTATTTGAACAAATAAATTTTCTACTATTGGAATATCTTCAACTCGAGTATTATCATGAAACATCGTTGAATCATTTCCATTTCTAAATAATGGTTGCATTATTCCAATACTTGGTTCTTTCTTTATTCCTTCTTTGATAGTAATATCAATGTCTTGAATTATACTTTTCTTTGTTCCTATTTCCATTTCTAACCTCTCTGCTTTAACTGAGATTGTTGTTTGTTGAGCTTGTATGATGTTAATGAATGGTTGTTTTTCATTTTCTGTTACTAAAACTTTCATTTCAAATTTATTCTCTCCATCATAACATGTCAATTCAAATTGATTCAATTTAATATTGATATTGGTTGTTTGTTCTTCTGAAGTTTCATATTGATTTTCAACATCTTTTTGATCATCTTTTTGAATCTTATTATTAATAATTTGAGGTACAGATAAGAATATCTCCAACCCATCCATTATTTAAAAAATTCAACATTTTATTATTTCTTTATTGTATAACAATACACACTTATTATGTTTTTAACACTATACTCACGTAAATATTTACATTCTTATTAATATTCATACATGTATTATTCTTTATTGAATAACAATGATAAATGGAATAATAATGAATAAATACTAATATTATTCAATAATGCTTAATTAATCATTAATAATGATAATTAAATGAAATAATAAAATAAATATTAATTATAAATTAAATTATTATAACAATTCAAATAAATAAACATATAAGTCATTAATAATAGAAATATAAAATATAAATGTGTTATTACTATTAAAGTGTGACACTAAGGTAATAAAAATAAGAAATAAAACAATATATTCAATTAAAAGAATGAGAACGTGATAATGATCGAAATAATGACAAATATACATGATGTACCATCAATATTTTTGTGATTATTAATATCATCATCTGATTCACTTTCTGAGCTATCTGTTGCTTTATCTTCTGATTCTTTACTTTCATCTTTTTGTTCATTATTCTTTCCGTCTTCTGGTTTGTTTTGTTTGTTATTATCTTTACTTTCATCTTTTTGTTCATCATGCTTTTCTTCAGCGTTTTTGTCTTGTTGTTTAGATTTTTGTTGATTATTACTATCTTTGTTTTCTTTTTCTTGTTCATTATTCTTCTTTTCTTGTCCTTGGTTACTTGTTTCTTCTTCATTTTTCTTTTCTTCATTTTTATCTTTGTTTTTCTGACTATCTTCATTATCACTTTCATTGTCTTTAGTCTCACCTCCTTTTTTCTTTTCACTTGCATCACTTTCTTGACTTTGTTCTTTTCCTTTATCATCTTGTGGGTTGTCGTTCTTTTCATCTTTAATGTGTTCTGCTTTTCCTTCTTTCTCACTCGGATTTTCTTGATTCTTTTCTTGGTTCTTCTCATTTCCATTCTGATTTTCATGGTTTTCATCAACTTTCTGTTTGTTTTGTTCATTGTGTGTTGTGTCAGCCTCTTGTCCACTTGGACGTTCAGTGTCTTGGTGTTCCTCCTTACTTCCTTTGCCATTTTCTCCTGTTGATTGTTTTTCTGATTCTTTCACATCTTCTTTTTTCTGATTATCTCCAGCTGTTTCACTTGCTCCATTTACTGTTGATGTTTCTTTTGATTCTTTGACTTTTTCAGTTTCTTGAATAGTTGGTTTTTCTTTAGGAACAGTCTGTCCACTAACTGTCTCTTCTTGTTTTATTGGTTCTGTTGTAACTTTTTTATCAACAATTGTTTCAATTCCTTTTTCTTCAGTTGCTGTTGGTGTTGTTACTTCAACTTCACTTTTTAATTCTGCTTTATACAGATTGTGCATTCTTTTGTGTTGTTTTGATTTTATTTGTTTGTGTATTACTTCTTTATTGTTAATACTTTCTGTTGCATTAGTAATTACAATAATCAATAGAAATATAAACATTGAATGAAATGTATGTAAGTTCTTCTCTTTAAATATACTCTCTTCTTTTTCTATTATTGCAATTTACATTCATTTTATTTTATAATGACTCAATTATTTCATTTTTCATTTCATTATATTGATGTATTATTGTATTTTGAAATTCCATACCAAATAGAATGAAATGAAATATTAAATTAAAATTCAATTCATTTTTGTAATGTATTCAACAAATTGAATCATAAACAACAATAATAAAATAAAATGAATAATAATTTCAATTCAAATTATTGTTATATTAAGAATATATTCATAACTATCAATCAATATATAACAATTATCATAACGATATATTGAAATTTATATTTACCATTTATTGATTTTCAAAAGTTATTAAGTGTTAATAATTACTTGATTATTTTTATGAATCTTTTATTTACAAATTTATTTTATTCAACCCATAAAACAAAACAAAGTAATAACAATAAATAATATCATTAATTAACATTAAAATTGTTCATTTATCAAATAATTTTTCTTTTTATTATCTTAATTCATTTTTTTTCATATACTAAACTTTAGTATCATGTTTAGTTCAAAAATATAATATAATTTATTACAAAATTCAATTACAACAATTATATTTTATTATTGATTATCATGAAATTTATAACAATAATAAAAGAAATATCAATAAATTTAACATTAGAAAAATCCTTTTAATTTCTTCTTCCCTTGTGTTTT